TGCTTTGCCCTATTCACACCTAAATCAGCGTTGTTTTGGTCCCAGCCAATGCAAATATGCAATCTGCTAAACTCCAGCTAATTTTAATGTTAATAATTTTAAAACAACAAACAAACCCAAACCTGCATGTTAGCATTTAGATATGTGCACTTAGCCTTTGATAGAGTTCTCAAATCCTAAGGAATTGTCAGGTACTTATGGAAAGGATGAAAGACACTCAACTACATTATCTGTCTTCTGAAGCCCATGGTGCTCTTTATATCCAACAAATACTGTGCCTTTGTGCCTTTAGCTTTATTCTCTGCTAAGTTTGCTTCTTTGCCAAATGTGCAGTCATGCATCTTAACAGTGAGTAGTCCATGCTCTAAAAACTATTTTCTTTGAGCTGCAGCTTTCTTATGTAACTTGGAAACCAGAGGGCAGGCATAGAGCTGAAATAAGGAGATAGGCTGAGAATTGGGACAAAGTAGATAAGGTCATTCTGTATTTTATTGTTGTTGCTGGATATTTGTTTCCCTCTGATCCCTTTTCCACATCAGAACTGGTAAAATTTGTGAGTTGTCATCCCTCAAGAGGACCCAGCATTCTTGGCATGGAAGAACTTGTACTATCATAGGCTCTGAGGTTTAAAACTTACAGCTCCTATCACATTGCAAATAGGCATCCATATTTAATGTTGCTAGGGGTTAAACGTGTATATTCCATATACCTGCTGAGATTCAGCATTGACATATATTTTATACTCGGCAATTATAACTTGCCAGTCTTAACAATGCTGCTTTAACTTCATAACTTCTTGTAAAATGACAAGGAGCTACAGAAGTCCTTGTGTATCTCAATTTACCCCTTTTAACAGGGTGAGCTTTGATAATTTTCTACATTCAGAGTTCAGCATCTCAATGCTTTCCTTAAATAATGTGGCTTAAAAATGTTAGTTTTCACCACTTTATTCTACTTTGCTTCAAAATAAATATGTAATGAATAAGGGAATATATTTTGGGAAGGTATAGCGTAAATCTCATTGCTTCTAGCGAATCATTGCAACTTGTGTTTTTATTAGCTTGCTTCTGTTAAGTGCCTGCAGCAGGATTCTTTCAGTATTGTGTCCGTAGTGCAATAAATAGGTCAGGCATCCATTAGAAAGCAGAGAAAGAGGCTGTTTACCAAGTAGTTTCCTGTATGAGTGGAACTCAGAGCACTGACATTTTGTTGAAACGCAGCTGGTGTTTTAAATAAGTTTGAAAGCTTTGCTTACTGCCTGCTGAGAACCTCTGAAGTGACATACTGCTTTTAGGTTAAAATTCATGTGAGCTTTAAAAATATACATCTTATTTAATAAGTGTTTGAATTTCTGTAGCTTTTTAGAATATGAGTACAAATGGACCTTCTATCAGAGTAGTCTCGGAAATGCAAGTTTCAAGAATGTACAAAAACTATTTCTTGAATACAAAGAGTAAATCTCTTCAGCGTAAGTACATCACAAAGGGGTTGGTTTTTTTTTTGCCTAGTATCATTAGCCTTTAACTTCCACAGTCTCTTTAGCTTTTTGGTAAAGCCCACACCTATTACAGTAACAATGAATGACTGATGACACCAATTTCACACTTTTGGGGCTCTCACTAATTTCATTCTGGGAAATCTGACAGTACTCTGCTACTTTGGTCTTAGGAGATGCTAGAGATACACAGTTCTTGGCTAAAAGCTTAACAAAACACTCTGTGCACTTCTTGTTCTTGGGATACAAAGGACAAAAGGAGTAAATAAAAATAGCCGATGACGCACAGTTAGGAGAAAGTGGCCACAGTCTATTCATTTTAGTTAACTTCTCAAGGGTGAATGAACACAGTTTGTTCCTTTATTTTTATTGTGGGGTGGGGTTTGGGGTGGGTTGAACAGGTGTATAAAAATAATAATAAAACTTTTGAGCATTCTGAGTATAAATGTTGCTAGTAGTCATAGTGGTCTCTGAGATAAAGGCATTCAGGCGTTGGTCAGAAAGACTGAGCAGAAAGAACAAGTCCTTTCTTGATAGCACCTTATGTTTGTGTTCAGTTATTGCTACTTCCTGATAAATATGTTCATTCTTGTACTCAGGCATATGTAGATATACACATACACACTGTATAGCTTATATACTTTAACAACTTAATGTACCCTTAGTAGACAGTAAACTGTAAATCTTCAAGTCTTTATAAATATCCTTTCATTCTTGGATTTGTCAAGTACAATATGTCTGCTGTACCTGCTTGGGCTAGAGGAACAGCTCTTTCAAACAAAAGATGATGGACTTTGTCCCCACAGAGTTTACAGAATCATTCTGGGGTTTGAAAACCAAACTTTTTCTACCTGTTAGTTTGATCTGTCACAAGAACTTAGTTAGTGGTTTCAGTGATGGTCCACTGGTCATGATTTAAAAAAAAAAATTAGCCCCTGCTCTAGCTATACTGACAAGTGTGTGCTAATGGTGGTAAAAACATTGTAAATAGGCATTGTAAGGTTCATATATACCTCCAAGAGCATAACATTTGCACAAAGAGATGGAAATAGCTGAATGAAAAGGGAAGGGGTGAATAATGGCACAAGGGCAAATAAGGTGTTACTTAAATGTTGTATATTCACGAGTACTCACATAGCACTGTTTCTTGCTTCCCAATCTAAAAAAAAAAAAAAAAGACTTCAGAGTGCTATGAATTAGCAAACTTTCTTTTCTTTTAAAGGATATCTTGCTTCATTTTAATTTCCCTGTGTTTGCACTCAGAGGATGAAATTCAGACGTTAGCATGGCAGGCTTTGTGGGAAAACTTCCTTGTTTTCTTAAGGGGCATAGGCAGAAGGGAAAGTCAAGAGATGAAGACTAACAGAAGATCACTTTAGAAAACCTAGTTCCTTCTGGCTGAACCCGAAATGGCCACCACATCCCAGCGCGTTCAGTACTTTGCAAATGATGGAAGCGTTGGATTGCTGAGCACTTCTCCTTTGAATGGCTAGCACACGCATAGTGGTTATATGTCGTACATACACAAAACAAAGTGTTAATTCTAGCTGCTCTAGAACACATACAGTAAGTGTGGCCAGTATTTGCCTGTTGCAGCTCAGGGTCTTCCTGTAAGTAAGGGGGGACATATTGTTGAAATGCTGTCTGTAAGAGCAAATTGTCAAGGCCTGGCGGGGAGTAGGACCGCAAGAGTAACAGGGCTGGTGCAAAATTGAAGTACCATTTCTGTTTTAACATCACAGAACACAAGTGCACAGTGGTTGGTTCTTTTAAGATGTTTTGGGTTTTTTCCTCTTCTCCCTCATGTATGCATACACAGTAATTTAGCTTAACTGGTAGGTAGGTCTGAATTTTTTGCTTTGCCTAAGCTTTCTTTTAAACAGCTATCACTTTCATCTGCAGCTCTGCACTAGC